ACGCCCGCGGGCTGCCGGCGCCGCCGTCTCCCGGTCCCCGCCCTCGGGTGTGCGCGCTGCGGCCGGGGCTCCGGACCCGGCAGCGCCCTGCCATCGGCAAAGTCGGAGCGCCGCAGCTTGGAGAGTTCAGCAGCGCGGAGCTCCAAACTCTCGGCTGCTTCTCCCCTTTCCTTTTTAGCTGCTTATCTTCGGGTGTTGGCATGTTATTTTCTCCCTTTTGTGCTTTCTGTAGTACTTCCCGACTACTCTCCCTTGCTCTAGATGAATTCTTTGCTCCCCTAACTTTTTCCTTCGGGTCCATATTCGCCCATCCTCTTTGGTTCTTCTGCGCTTGCTTTTCCCCTTGGGAACCGAAGGACCGATTAAAAGTCACCATCGCCTCCAGAAATCATTGAGGAGCCACTCTTGTGGATAAATGCCCGGCTGGACAGACGTTCACAGTTTCCTTTGCTAGCCGAGGGAGTAAGGAGCCCGGCTCTGATTTTTCACCCTGGTTGCTGAGCAGGGGGAGGTGTCCTTAGCGAGTTCTTGGCAGAGGGAAGAAGCTATTTGGAATGTAGCTCCGTATTATTAGAAAGCACTTTTGAGGGAAAGTCGGCGGTTGTGACCCAAATCTCACTAGTAATTTTTCTAAGACGCACCGCTGATGATTTTTTAATGTTGTGTTTATGATTCTGGTTCTCTTTCCCCCAGGGTGCTTCTTCCCTATAATGCTGGGGCTGGAGGCAGGCGTTTAAAACCCATGGTTGCAGCTCGTCTGTATTCATACCACTTGTTTGAAGCCTATGCGTTTCTTTCTCCCTTTTCCTGTTTGTTCAGAGAGGAAGCGCAAGTCATTTATTTAACCCTAAGTGTGGGAACCGTGACCCTGACCTGCCTTTTCTGTCCATAACCGGGTATGACCCATCTTCTTTTCATTCTGCTAGTGAAGCAGGAAAGGCTCTCAGTAAAATGTGGATTTGGCACATAGAAGTCCTTGACAGAAATAAGCCAGAGTTAAATTTCTTTGTATGGAAGCTAGTCATGTCTTCAGTACCTATTATGTCTTCTGCCCCAGAATCAGATGACTACAATTCTTTTCTCATTCTGCTCAATTTTGTCTTCTTGGGACCCCTGTGCCTTTTGCCTTCGCGCTCCTTGACATCACATAGAACATTTCAGGTAACATAATTGTTGACAAACCTGAGTCCTGTGATTTTGAAATTGAATGGTGTTTTGCAGAGACCACTAAGTGACGTTTCCAAGTATGTGACACAAATTTGAATATTGTCTTAACTCTGACCTGATGGGAATCCTCTTCCAGATGTGCACAGATGTGCACCGAGTCGGGGGAGAGGAGAGTTTACTCTATCCTGTAACTGGGTGAGATTCGATTAGAGCTAGGCAGAGCTTGCCTGGCTCTGTGTGAGAGGCTTTCACAGGCCCTTGAGAACTCAAATGCTTTGTGTGGTCTCAACAGAGGGAAGGCAGGTGCTCGTACCCATGGAAATAGTGATGGAATTTGGCTCTAACATCTCCCCCAAAGCCTGGCATGTGTGGAAGGTGACTGGGCATTAGTGCCTTACCTCAGTGGACCCATTGATGATGAGCTCAGTCCTGACTGGGCTGTGACAAGGTGTGGCCCAGAAGGGTGGATTGTCATCCCCAACTCCCCTGTGAGCACTGCTCCCCAGCTGCCCTGAGCTGGGCACCTTTCCCTATGACAGGCTTCTCTGCCAACCTGTTTCTGCCTTGGAGCACAATGACCAGGGACCAAAAATAAAAAATAAGATAAAAAGAAATTTCTCCTTTCAGTCAGGTATTGTGACCCAGTGACAAGAAAGTGCCTGAGACAGTATTTGATATCCTTCAAGCAAGGAATGACTGCCAAAAGGGAAGTACAGGCTTGAGGAAAGACAGGCATAACCTAGGGATGGGGCAGAGGTGAGGCTGGAGCAGGGTGTGCAGGGGCTGGGAAGCCAGTTCAGAACTTCATCCTGTGTTTGCTGGGCTTGTGCGCAGAATAATGAAGCCCAGTTTGAGACATGGTCCTGATTCACCTGTGTGGGCCATCAATACACCCCTCAGAACAGAAGCATTAATGAATTTTCGAATAGGCCTTTGCATTTACACAATAAAAAAATGTTTTAAGGTCACAAACTGGCTTTGAAATAGGCTACCTTAGAAAAATCTGGATGTGGTGGTACATACCTCAAAATCTAGCTGCTGAGGAGGTTGAGTCGGGGGCTCTCAGGTTTGAGGCCATCTTGGGCAATTTAGCAAGAGCTGGTCTTGAAGTACAATTTAAAAAGACTGGGCCTAGTGTAAGTGGAGTAGTTGGTTAACTTGTGTAGCCATTTCAGCCCCAGTAGTGAAAATAATTAGAAAAAATCATTTCAAATTAGGATCTTTGTTGTGTATGTGTATACATAAAATCCTTCAAAACACACAAGGAAGATCAGTCTTCAAAAAGATAAAGGGTGTTTTTAAGCCAAATATTGTGGTATGTACCTATAATCCTAGCATTTAGAGGCTGAAGCAAGAGGATTGCCACGAAATCTAGGCTAGGTAGGGCTACATAATTCATAGCCATTTTGAACTACATAGAGAAATCTTATCTCAAAAATCTTCCAAAATAAGTTTATTTTAGCTACAAAGAAATGAGCCCTTAATCTGACCACTATCCTGAGAGACTCTAAATCAGTGTTGTTTAAAACAGTAATCTGGCTTCATTGCATGTGATTGGCGTAAATAGTTGAATTTTGTGTGTGGTCAGAAGTTTGTCTTAGTCCTTTGATACATGTTGAAGAGCAAATTTAAGTTCAGGCACCTTTTGTAGACAAGTTTGCTCAGTTAACTTTTTTTTCCCACACATTTGCCCTTGGTAAGGCACATGAAGAGGGATTTCAATTGATTTATTTGCTGCTGAAATCTAGGAGAAACTTGTTATGTAAATGAATGGTGAGCACATAGACTAAAGAAAACTTCCATTGCGGTAGGGTACCCCCCTTAAGTTATAATAGTTCTTTTCAAAAATCAAATGTGTTACCAGAATATTTCCAAGGGCCATCTAAAGGTTTCAGTTGTAATGATTTAATGAAAACATTGATTTCAACAAATGCCAATAAGCTTCCATTACTGCTTCTGTCAGATTTGGGGGTTGGTGGTGGTTAGTAGATAAAAATCTCACCCTAGAGGCCTTCATTCTGTAGTGGTGCAGAGCGCGCGCGCGCACACACACACACATACACACACACACACGCATGCACCCCATTACAGTTTGATAGAGATTTCTCCGAAGTGCTGAGGAAGCAGAAGAGTGCACAGTTAGTTGATTCTTTTGGAGGGAAGTAAAGAAGGTTTTACTGAAATAAGGATGTTTAGTCTGGGGTTTGAAGCATAAGTAGGAGTTAAGCAGGGAGCCAGGGAAGTACTTATGCACTGTAGGTCCTGCTGTTCTCTGTTTGACTCTAGGTAAATCTGAAACCAGTCTCTTTGTTGGAGGTGGGTGGGAACAGTTCCCAATGCTTAACAGGTCACTGTTAGGATTAAAAAAAAAATACCTTGAAATCTTTGGCTTTTTGAGTTTTCTGGTTGTGTCAAGGTAGAGTTAACAGCAGGTGGGGAGGCATGGAGAGCAGTCTTGAAGCACAGAGTGATGGGGTCATGGTACTGGAATTGAGGGGTATAGGCTGGATAAGGTTTTCTTTTTGGAGGCTATGCCTATGCAGGACAGCCATTGGAGGCTGTTGGCTGTAAATAACATAACTCCATTAAATGTCTCTGGGTTTGTTTGTCTTTTTTTCATTCTGCATTTTCTTTTAAGTTCTTCTGCCTTTGTCAAACTTCCTTGCCGGGGATTTTTATGGTGTTAAAAATCCTGGGCTTAGGGGCCAACGAGATAGTAGAATAAGTCCTTGCCTGGCAAGCGCAAGGGCCTGAGTTCAATCCCTGGGTCTGCCAAAAAAAGAAATCCTGTGCTCAGTTGGTTACTTAAGGATAGGTGAAACCTCCCCATGGCCTTGAATTACTGCCTTTCCGATGTGTGAGGGGTCCTTCCAACAATAGAAAGAAACGAAAAAGAAATACCAAGCAAATATTAGTTGTTAATCTGCATTAAATGAGTTGTGTAACAAAACACCAGAGCATCAGAAATGAGGTAATCTTTGTGTTTGTTTTTCTTTGACTAGTGGCAACAAAACTAGTTGCAAAATTAAATGCTTGTTGTGAGCAGAGAATTGTTTTCAATTTTTCATTTTGCTTCTGTTGGTAATAAGACTGGACTTTCTTTGTTTTTCCTATTATTGTCACTCTCCAAACTGTTTAACTTCAAGACTCATATTTCATGTAGGACACAAATTTTTGACCTCAGAAATTACCACATCCCAATAGTGTTATCTTTTGTGTGCCCTGTACACACAGTCTCATTTTGCAATTGTTTGTTTTGCAGAATTGTACCTATAGTCACAGGTTTTTGTTCTTTTTTTTTTTTTTTTTTTTTTAATGTGGCTTGTTGTAACAAGATTGATGGAATGTGAGTTAGCTCTGGTTTGCTTTATTATTTGCTTTGGCCTTCCTTGTATTTCTCATACATAAAACCTACATGTACATTGTCTAGAAAGGACAAAGTATAAGAACATAGTAGTGTTCCTGTGATTGTCACGTATAAAATCTGGCAAGAAGCATACATATTAACCCTTTCTCCTTGGTGTGGGTAGTTACTCTTCTGTGTACAACAAGTGGTGATTGTGTGCCTGTGCAAGGTCTCTAAATTCTGATATTCAGCAATACTCAAACCTTTACTGAGAATTGACAGATTAATTTATTTAG